TGATTTGCCTTCATGAGCATCGGGAGACCCATTTTTAATGTTGCTTTCCAGATAGACTTGAACCCTATCCGGTCTACAATTTGTTATTTCTTCTGAAAAATACTTACAAGGGCTCTGTTATTTCTTTCACAAGGATCTGTGGACGGGCCTCTGTCTCATCCTCAATGGGCAGCTGACGCATCTGGGAAACCCACTCCTTCTGGTAAGGGAGCCAGAGCGTCTAAAGAGTCTAAAACCTTGCAGCAAGTGGGGAGAGGATTTTTTTTTTTTTTCAATTTTCCTCATAGAATACACATGTCAGAATAAGCCTACGTCAGTTATCTGGTCTTTAACAGATCCGGGGTCTGGTACAGCTGCCATGATGAACAACAGCTCAAGAGGCTCTTCCCCTACCAGGGTGATGGATGAAGGCAAGGTAAATGTACCCATTTTGAATAGTTATTTCAAGTACATTTAGCTTTTCCTACAACTCTCTCTTCGCTTCTCCTCCTATTTTTGTGTTCTGTCTGTACTGTCTCATTTATTTTTCTGAAAAAGTAAACTGTTCTCCAAGAGGCTGAAGTCCCCTCAGTTCCCAGCATTAAATCTTCAGCTGAGCATCCCGTAGCAGTAAGTACTGAGAAGTGTGGACCGAACTGGGCTATGAATTGCCTGGTGATATTGATCTTACTTTTGTCCTTGACTTGGGAGTGCTGCTGAAATCTGACTGATTTGTTGGCCTTTTCTCCTCTCTCCTGTTTGGTTAGACATTTAACCTGTGTAGAGCCTTGGCTGTAACTGTAATTAACTTAAACAAAAGTGAAAAACGTCCCCACTCTTCTGTATTTCAGTGTTTAATGCTCTTATGCAAAGTAAATTCATTGTAAGCTGTATAATTCATTATTTTGTCTTCATTTGAAAATGGACTATTTAAGAATATCTCTACCTGTATACTAGGCAAAACCTATTTTGAAGGATCTGAAATTACAGACTGATAACAGAAGAATGTTTGTTGGAAGTGAAGTACTGAATAGTGGAAGTCTGTAATTACGCATTGAGCCAGTTCTCAGCAGTGTCCTTAAACAGTGTTCACATAGGTGTATTCTCTTGTAAC